TACACATGAAATGTAATTCCCAAAGTTTTATTTTTTTCTGTTTTGGAGCAACCACAAGCACAACAACTAACCATTCTTTTTATGTCACTGCAACAGCCACAACAAAAATGACTCATAAGTGGCTTTGGCAAATGGCCGACTTCCGTCGCACTCTCTCTCGTATACAACTTGATTAATGCTCCTTCCTGGTATTCTTTATTCATTGCATTCTGCGCGAAAACGGTCGGTTTGGTTTTATATACAGAGCATTATTATATTTTTGTTTCAGATTATAATGTGTGTTTGCCTAACCATCAGGGTGGATTATCACAAAACGTTGAAAATTGCATCTTCGCAAATATTACTCCCGGAAACTAGATAATGGAAGGCTTCTCCTTATCATTCTCTCTTCATTACTTTCCACCATTTCTGTCGAACGTCTTTTACGTTTGGTAGCGAAAAAATATTTTATTTTGGCGTTGAGCGCAACAGACTATAGTTCGTTTCACCAATAATTTAACATTTCTCATTAGGTCGTTAAGTAGCGGGAATTCCCACTGCGACATTTAAAACAATAGGACAATAGCCCCCATTTAACTAAAAGTCAGCGGTTCTCAATAAAATTTTAATGTTTCAAACGCCAAATTGTAATTGGGGAAACTACTTGGAATGTGTCTACCTATTTAATTAATACATTAATATGGTATCAACACGATTATTGTCGTTAATGTCCTATCGACGCATTCCTTAAGGAACTACATTTTAAATATATCGATTATTAAGGAAATGGGCCGATTTATACGAGCACTACAATTTGGCGTTTGAAACATTAAAATTTTATTGAGAACCACTGACTTTTAGTTAAATGGGGGCTATTGTCCTATTGTCTTAAATGTCGCAGTGGGAATTCCCGCTACTTAACGACCTAATGAGAAATGTTAAATTATTGGTGAACCGATATCTTCCTTTTTCACCTGTATACTACCGGCATTGAATTTATATAATTATAAATTCAATGCTACCGGTCTACCGCAATCATATATCAGTTTGGCATCATGCGGTGAGGAACCAGGATAGCGTAATCGAAGACTGCCGCAAATTAGTAAGAGAGGCATTTACTCCATACTTAGACTATGAAAGAGAGGGGACCCGTAATAGAGAGCGCGCGCGTGAAGCAAATTGCGATCATACTGCCACCACCAGTGGCGCCCGCTCGGGTATTACATTAGGAAATTACAATTTATTTATACTGCCATCATGGTATGATTAACCTGTGCGTACAGTTGTCGGACATAATATTAGGTTCTTATCTGAATAGAGAGACAAAAAACGCGATAAACGTAAACATACGACTGGACTTTGATCGTTTCAGAAACTGGGTTCGCGATATAAGCGCAATATTATTGAAAGTAAAGGGTTTTTCCAAGGGTTTTTCATTAAGAGCGCTCGAACTTTGAAATGAAATAAAACAACCTGTTTAAGTGATATTACCACAAGTTTTATAATATTTTAAATGATATTCGAAGACATTATTTATGAAAAATAATTTCAGTGAAATGGCCCCCGCGACTCCGCTGTGGACGTTGCATTGTGGTGGACCAATTTTGGACATGTTCGCTTAAACTGGGCTGAATTTCACGAAGAAAGCGAGTTATACTGGTCTTTAGGGCAGCAATTGACTGTGGTTGGTCTGCATAGACTAGGGAACTGAAAATCCAAGTCTCGGCGCAAAATCCGCCAAGTTAACATGCCAGAAAGACCCATCTCTTGCGCACTCTGCAGAATGGGCTGCCTGGGGTTTTCTCGCATACTATTCCGAACGGCAATAATATTCTCCAACGATCTTGCGTTTCTTTGACGTACAGGAACTGCTTCATCAATCACTCCCCCCGTTGTCTCAAATTTTTTATTAAACAACGGATTGTGGACTCTGCAGGATGTCCATGAAAGCCATAAATTGGACGCACCGCACGGAACGTTAGGCCAACGGAGCTCTGATTTCGATAATCAATTGTAACCATTTCTACGCAGCGTTTTTAAAATACTAATACACAACCTCACTCTTTCGTACATTAATTTGTCATTCCTGACCACTACTTATAACATCGTTAAAAAAATTTTGTATTCATTTCACTTCATAAATGACGCTTGAAGATGACCAGTTAGGTCGAAATCGATAGCCGCATAAGACAAATACAAAACGTGTCTAAAAAGAATTTCTTTAAACCCCTTTCTCAGTTCCTTGTACTTAAGTAATAAGCTGTTGATACTATAGCAAACCGTTGACGATGACGACTGTGATAATATTGAATTGAGATGTCTTCTCCCCTAACGGGTTTAATCATAACGATCTTCCTTCAGGATATCTTGTGTTTATCGAATGTGGCGGCGATCGATGTGTATTGCTTCGAACATCGATCGATGACCTCTCTCTTTTGAAGACCAAATCCTATCTGTCGTACCACATGTAAGTACAAAGGCAACATACACTGTAGTTAAACTACTCCATACAAAGTAATCAGTCGCCTAAGGGTTAGGCATCCAAACATGTACATATCTGTTACGTCATGTAACTAGATAGTCACGCCGTCACTGGAATATCGCTTGCAGGTTATATCACTTGCTTACTGTAATTGAGAAATTATCAATGAAAAGAAGTATAAAGCAGTATTTTATTGATGCACAAAAATATAGGACAATTGTAAGATTATGAAAATGAAGACCTTAAAAGTGTTTTATTAACTACCATAAAGATTTAATTAAATTTAGCCAAACCAGACAACGTGCCGTTTTTTATCTTGCCTATGAAATGATATTCCTGCTGGACAACGACCACTGCAACTTTTACAGTTGTACGCAGAACAATTCACCACGTTTATATCACACAGTTTTGCACACACAAACTTTATCAATAATGAAGAAATGTCAAAAAATTCACACTGCCACCGCGCTTTGAGTGCCACCGAAAATATGGCGGTCGTCTCGAAATTCGCGTCAAATTCACGCATGCCGTGGATGCGGTATTACGGGTCCCCTCTCTTTCCTTGTCTAAGACTCCATAAGACCCCATACCATTGATATAATCAATGGTCATACCTACTGCATCTGGAGGTGCGAACGCGCTATATAAGATTTGACAACGTTGCATTTGAGAGCTGCAACCATTTACGTGCCCTCTGTATAAGACCTATTTAAATCAAAATATATTTCACTGGCACAACTTCCATCACTGAGCACTAGATTTTATTTGATTGTTGAATTACCATTGGAAGATGACAAAGTTTGTCCAAGATCCGAGACTACCAGAGCACCCGTAAATTGGCTGTTGGCCCTGTACATACTATCACTACAAATCTAAATCTATTTTACTCCTAGCTACAAATGCTGTACCAAAATAGATTTTAGTAAGTACCAACATATGCGACACATTTCTTGACATTAATGTTCTTTTTAGGTATGGAAGGAGATGGTACACCACTCGTTAAAGTAGAACCAAAACATGAAGAAGAAATCCATTCCTCTCTTCAGCAAAACATTTTGGTGAGCAACGAACCTTTGGTTACAATAAAAGATGAGATCGCTATTACTATGCAGTGTTCAAAATCACTTGTAGAAGTACAGCAACATTCTGACCTTCAACATCATATTTTAACTGGGTGCAAAACAGTGTCTAAAGATTTTAAATGTGGTACTTGTGATTATGGGACAAATAATAAACACCTCTTCAAACAACATCTATTAAAACATAAAGTTTCGAAAGTTTTTAAATGTGCCGATTGTGATTATGAGGCATATTATAAATGCAGATATAAACAACATCTTTTAAAACATACAGTTTCTAAGGATTTTAAATGTGCTGATTGTGGTTATAAGACCAGCAATAAACATACCTTTAACCGACACCTTTTGATACATAAAATTTCTAAGGATTTTAAATGCGCTATTTGTGATTATCAGACAAACAATAAATATAACTTTAACCAACATCTTTTAAAACATAAAGTCTCGAAGGATCTTAAATGTGCTATTTGTGATTATGGCACAAATAATAAACGCCTCTTCAAACAACATCTTTTGAAACATAAACCTTCGAAGGAGTTTAAATGTGCCACTTGTGATTATGGGACAAATGATAAATGCAACATCAAACAACATCTTTTAAAGCATAAGGTTTCGAAGGATTTTAAATGTGCTGTTTGTGATTATATGACAAACAATAAATACTACTTTAACCACCACCTTTTAAAACATAAAGAGTCTAAGGATTTTAAATGTGCTGATTGTGATTATAAGACAAACAGTAAATCCAACTTTAACCAACACACTTTGAAACATAATGTTCATAAAGATTTTAAATGTGATGATTGTGATTATGGGACCAATATAAAAAGCAACTTCAAAAAACATCTTTTAAAACATAAATTGTCGAAGGAGTTTAAATGCGCTGCTTGTGATTATAAGACAATCAATAAATACTACTTTAACCGACACCTTGTAGTACACAATATTTCTAGGGATTTTAACTGTCATGATTGTGATTATGGGACCAATATTAAAAGCAACTTTAAAAATCACCTTTTAAATCATAAACATTCAAAGGATTTCAAATGTGATGATTGTGATTATAAGACAACAATAAATATTACTTTAACAGACATCTTGTAAAACAGTTTCTTAGATTTTAAATGTGATTGTGGGACAAATGACAAAAACAACTTTAAAAGTCACCTTTTAAAACATCATAACAAAGGCACAGCTTAGTAAGTAAGCTGTGACAAAGGATAAAGGCTGCAGGAAGCAAATCCCTGTAAAAGAAGACTCAGAGGCTGAACATAAGGAAGTGAGTTGTTTATTACCTACTCAATAACTGTCTCTTGTATTACTTGCGCTGTAAGGTGTGTTGCCTATCCCTTGGGGTATGTTATCACAATGTTTTGTTTTAAACACTATGGAATGGCTTTTTATCCATATCCATTGCTGTTTCACATAACAATAGTATTTGTGCATCGAATAAAACTAATATAATTTTATTAGGCTTACATTATGTATTTGCATTCATACTAATGTGATCGTTCTAATTAGACGCCAATGTATTTATTATTTACTTTAGTAGGTAGGATAAAATGGACTTGGATATATTTCTTAGATAATAACTTTGCAATATGCTAGTCTTGCTTGTGACTCAATTGGGTCCCATACACCGGTACTGCTCCATAAGTAAATATGCCAGCGCCCACAATTTGAGGTTTTTGAAAATGTTCTATGCTAACTTCACACTACAAAGAACACAAAAATAAAGTCAACCCGGCAACGTTTAAAAAAGGTCACCCGAATGACTAGTATATAAATGAAATAGGCTGGGAAAAAAAGAACTTGCCAGGAAAAAAACTAGCAGACAAATTAATATTAAATTGTGTATCAAAACTAAATGTTTGTAATGATGCATTGTAGGTATAACATAAGTTTATAACAATATGTATCACGTAAGCTTCGAGAGGTGACATAGGTTAAAATAAAGTTTTGAGAACAATGGGTCAGGTAAGCAGATACCAAGATTCTGAGAAACGGTGAAATACACAGGACGTGGTGACTCGTCTGTTGTACAATAAAATCCTGTTTAGAGCAAGATGAAAAAGTACATAGCCTTGTAAGGAAAATTTAATGTTATGAGAAGATATGCGGTAAGGTAATCAGTGAATCGCAACTCATATAATCACACATAACGGGCGATCAAAAATGAGTTGCTGTCGAGTCGCCTTTGGATTTTTAAGATAAGTACGATTTGCCTTGTAAACAAAAATTCCAAAGGTGACTCGACAGCAACTCATTTTTGATCGCATGGTATGTACCTTAGGGCCGGTATTATAAAGCCCGCTTGAACGGAGATTGGCGTTCAATCGTAGTTTGAGTGCGATTGCGAGTATTATAAACGCCGTTTAAGTCGTAACCAGAGCTCAATCTCCGATTGTAGTCAACCCGCCAATTTTCTCGGGTTTTGGCGCCCAAACGGAGATTAAGCGCGCGCACGTGTGAAGAACTGTAACCAGTTTATTTTGTTTTGTCATTGTTTCTATTTATAATGAAATGGAAATAATTGAAATTGGACGTGCAAGAGATCGGTTACCGTGGGCAGTAAGCGACGATGACTCTTCATCAGAGGATGAGTTCATTAGAAGAAGAGCAGAAATTTTAGAGAACGTGTTGATCATTTCGGCAAGTGATTCGAAGAGGAATTTCGGCAAGTGAGATGAAGAGGAATTTCGGCAGAGATTTCGGTGATCCAAGGATACTGTTAGATCCCCATAAAACAGGATTCGAGCACTAAATTGTCCCCCAAACAAACAAGTAGGTTTGTGCTTTTCTATGGAAATTCTATTATTTTTGCGAATTTACGCAACTGGGTGTGTTAATTAATTAATAATTGCCCATCGATGGTGAGGCTGTCGTCACCAGCTCTAGCTTCATTACCAGTAAGGTTTTTCACTGTGCTAGATCATATTTTGTCTTCAGTTACTCAAATGTGGCTCAGTCAATGCAGCGTTATACTTCTCTGCAATTTTCTTCCATGCGTGTGTGCAGTATAAACACAGAATTATATAGATGCAAACAAAAAACTCACAAGTGATGACATCCTGATGCTCTACCTTGTTCTTGGTAGTAGAGGCGTCCGCCCGTTTATTTTCAATTATATGTAAATATGACTGAACGCAGTCCGCTTGCTGATGGGCGTACGCGTCCGTAAATTTCCCTTGTCTATCATTGGCACAGTGGCAGGCAAAACAGCGCTATGTAAAACGATTTAGCACGGGGATGAACAGATCAGCACAGTTACAGTGGCAGGGGCAAATGGCACAGAAGCGAAAAGAACGAACGGCGCGGGCGCGATGGGTGCGAAGAACGTAAACGTCATCAGCTGACGCATCGGCCACTGAAAATTCTGCGCCCTGATTGGTCCTCGGTTCGCCCGCAGTGTTACCATCCTAGGGATCGTAAGCTCAAACGGAGATTAACCAAACGCTCTTCCCAAGGTGTTTATTCGAGAAGGGGAGAGATCGACGCGACACGTGGCGGAGAAATATGTAACTAACCTAAACGGGATAAATAATAAGCATTATGGCTGAATGTACGTTAAATTCGTCCTCTTTAAAAAAAATAAGAGCAAGAATTATTGTTGTGTGCCTCAGTGTTTCACTGGATATGATACGATACATACAAAACACAATTTAACCCCGTTTACACCGCCCATTTTGTTTTGTGGTAGCGCCATCTGTTATCACTTCCCTTCTCGAATAATACGCAACCGCTCTCAATCTTGGTTTGACGTTCAATCGCCGTTTGATTAATCTCCGCTTGAACTGTACTTTTATAATACCAGCCCTTAGACAAGGAAAGAGAGGGGACCCGTAATACCGCATCCACGGCATGCGTGAATTTGACGCGAATTTCGAGACGACCGCCATATTTTCGGTGGCAGTCAAAGCGCGGTGGCAGCATATATATAATAGCGTTTTCGATTGGCAAAACTCGTGCTGCACGAGTGCAATTTTTACGTTCTATTGGTAATTTTAGAGCAATTTTCTGTGTTCCATTGGCAAATGTGATGCAACAATTACGCACTCAGTGCAAATTTCGACGCACGAGGTCCGAGAGCTCGTGGAGCTGCTAGTTAACAAATTTTCAAAACAAACGTGCGACAATTTGAATTTGTTTCTTGCATTGGAGAGTTTTTTGTCGTCATCTTGCGATAGACAAGATGCTGAAATAGCCATAACTTCTATTTTACAAAAAGTTGCACTTAATTCATTAAACTGAACGCCAAAAATTGGTCCTTTACAGGAATTTCAAATTTATCTTCCTCATCGTTTATCATAAATAATACTGAAATCGTTTCAGTCATTTTTTAGAATAGAGATTTGTCGATTACCTAAATCTAAAATGAGGAAGGACAAATGACAACAAATATTTACGAATATTTATGTTCCATTGACAGCAATTTTCACATGCATTTCTTCAGTTTCTCGTGCAACACTCGTGCAGTACGAGTTTTTCCAATCGAAAACGCTATAAGGTATGTACTCCTATAGTACATACATATTGCTTCTCTTATATATATGGATATTTGTGTTACTGAAGTGTGAAGTTAGCATAGAACATAGGTGTTACGTACACTATATTTTACAACTTCAAACTAAATAAAATCCCATCACACAATGAAAAAATAAGAGAATAATAGAAATAGTGACGCCGTACACCCAAAACACAACAAAGAAATAGCAACAGACTATAAGCCAACCAGAACACTCATATGCTGTTTGAATTTATGTATGTCATTATAATGGCAGCTAAATGTAAGGCTAATTTATTGCACCGGCATCAAATACGTATAATTCCAAGTTCATAACTTCACAAAAACAACACCTCATAATTACTTGTTTTATTTTAGGTTAACAAGATAATAAATACAGAATACGCGCGCGCGCTTTTTCTAATGTCATTGGTTCGCAATAGGAATAAGGAATAAAAATTCGACGGAACGAAATTATTATTTCTTATTTCCTAGGCTATTTCATATTTCAGTGTTGTGTGCAAATCCATAAAGATCAGTAGATTGAAAATTATTATTTCTTATTTGTTATTTCATATTTCTTATTCCATATTTTTTTCATTGTGTGATGGGCTTAACATTATCAGCAAGCACCGGTCCCAGCCTAGAGAAGGAAAGAGTAAAGCCCATCACACAATGAAAAAAATAAGAAATATGAAATAACAAATAAGGAATAAGAAATAAGGAATAACAATTTTCAATCTACTGATCTTTATGCATTTGCACACAACACTGAAATATGAAATAAGCCTAGGACATAAGAAATAATAATTTCGTTCAGTCGAATTTTTATTCCTTATTTCATATTGCGAACCAATGACATTAGAAGAGGCGCGCGCGCGTATTATGTAATGACGTAAATTCAAACGGCATGAGTGTTCTAGTTGGCTTATACATAGTCTGTTGCTATTTCTTTGTTGTGTTCTGCGTGTACGGCGTCACTATTTCTTATTCCATATTTCTTATTCCTTATTTTTTTCATTGTGTGATGGGCTTTAGGTGACACCAGAGTTAAGGTTTGGACAATGCAGTGTATAATTTTAATTACAAGATACAATGCCTACTATAAGATTTGGCAACGTTGCATTTGAGAGCAGATATCGACTGTGCCCTTTAAGAACATTAATTCTTGTTAGCATTGTTTATTTATTCATGTAAATAAACAATGATGTTAGGTAAGTGTGTACATTTTCCTTACATTTCCGTTTACATTAAAGTTTTAATGAAGTGCAACAATAGATTTCTTGACAACATTATTGTTCTTTTTAGGTATAGAGGGGGATACACCACTTGTTAAAGTAGAACCAAAACAAGAAGAAGAAATCCATTCCTGTCTTCAGAGAAACATTTTGGTGAGCAATGAAACGTTGGTTACAGTAAAAGATGAAGTCATCACTGCACAGTGTTCTAAATATCTTTATAGTGAAGAAGTACCACAACACTCTGACTTTCACCTTTTAACTCAGTGCAAAACAGAATCTAAAGTTTTTAAATGTGCTGAATGTGATTATGTGGCAAATTATAAAAGCAGACTTAAACAACATCTTTTAAAACATCAAGTTTCCAAAGTTTTTAAATGTGCTGATTGTGATTATGAGACAAATTATAAAAGCAGCTTTAAACATCATCTTTTGAAACATAAAGTTTTAAAAGATTTCAAATGTGCTGATTGTGGTTATGAGACAAATTATAAATACAGCTTTAAACAACATCTTTTAAAACATAAAGTTTCTATGGATTTTAAATGTGCTGATTGTGGGTATAAGACCAATAATAAACATATCCTTAACCGACACCTTTTGATACATAAAGTGTCCAAGGATTTTAAATGTGCTAATTGTGATTATAAGACAAACAATAAATATAACTTTAACCAACATCTTTTAAAACATAAAGTCTCGAAGGATCTCAAATGTGTTATTTGTGATTATGGGACAAATAAGAAACGCCTCTTCAAACAACATCTTTTAAAACATAAGCCTTCGCAGGATTTTAAATGTGCCACTTGTGATTATGCAACAAATGATAAAGGCAACATCAGACAACATCTTTTAAACCATAAAGTTTCGAAGGATTTTAATTGTGCTGATTGTGATTATAAGACGAACAATAAATATTACTTTAACCACCACCTTGTAAAACATAAACCTTCTAAGGATTTTAAATGTGCTGATTGTGATTATAAGACAAACAGTAAATCTAACTTTAACCAACATCTTTTAAACTATAAAGTTTCGAAGGATTTTAAATGTGCTGATTGTGCTTATGGGACAAATAATAAACACCTCTTCAATCAACATCTCTTAAAACATACAATTTCCAAGGATCTTAAATGTGCTACTTGTGATTATAAGACAAACAACAAATATTACTTTAACCGCCACCTTTTAACACATAGAATTTCTAAGGATTTTAAATGTGCCGATTGTGATTATGGGACAAATGATAAAGGTAACTTCAAAAAACACCTTTTAAAACATATAGTTTCTAAGGATTTTAATTGTGCTGATTGTGATTATAGGGCCATCAATAAATATTACTTTAAGCAACACCTTTTAAAACATAATGTTTCTAAGGATTTTAAATGTGATGATTGTGATTATGGGACCAATGTAAAAAGCAGTTTCAAAAAACACCTTTTAAAACATAAAATTTCCAAGGAGTTTAAATGTGCCGCTTGTGAATATAAAACAATCAATAAATATTACTTTAACCAACACCTTGTAAAACATAACGTTTCTAGGGATTTTAACTGTCATGATTGTGATTATGGGACAAATAATAAAAGCAACTTTAAAAAACACCTTTTAATACATACAGTTTCCGAAGGTTTTAAATGTGATGATTGTGAGTATAAGACAATCAATAAATATTACTTTAACCGACATCTTTTAAAACATAAAGTTTCTTAAGATTTTAAATGTGATGATTGTGATTGTGGGACACATGATAAAAGCAACTTCAAAAAACACATTTTAAAACAAGGTTTCAAAGAATTCTAAATGTGCTGAGTGTGAGAAGCCGTACGAATCTATTTACTGTAGTCACTGTACTTTACTGTAAGGTAAAACTGTGTCAGTTGGGACGTTGTTATTTTGTTTGGATCAACATTTTTTTTGTGAATGTTGTGGGTGTGGCTACGAGTTAACAAAACAATTTTGCGAAGCGAGTTTGTAGTCAAGGTATTTCTTGGAATTGTTTAGATTAAGAAACTTTTGTACCTCAATTTTATTCGTCATCAATGTGCTCATTAATGCCTTTGTGACAAGTTGGATATGTTTATTAAGCTTTTCGTTTTGTATAGAAAATGTAAAGGTAATTGTTAGACATAAAGTTGCATTTTAAGCAGTAAGAAAAAATTGTATTATTTTTATAGAAATGTTTTGGTTTAGATAAGGAAATTCTAAGAATTATTGTGGACGTGGAAATTCGGATGTCGGCGATTAGGTCCGTCGTAACTCGTATTGTTTATTTTCGTCTCTGTGCAGTTTTTAATGGTTGATGGATCCGTAGACAAATTATGTCGGAAAATCGTTTAATTACCTGAGGCCGCGGAAAGAAGACGCTTTTTGCCAAACCTCGAGACCGAAGTGCTGTCCGTGGAAGTAATTTTTTTCGGAGCTTAGTCTTCCGTCGTTTGAAGAAGTTTTTGGTTGTTTGGACATTGTGGTCCAATTGCATTTAAACAGGCGACTGTATTGGTTAGCCCTAAGTTTCATGTGTGCTAGTAAAAACAAATTTTATTTATATAAAATGTTTCAAGTTTTGTGTTAATTCGGCCTTTAACAACGACAGGAGAGATCTTATGCTTAAAATTCTATTAGCTGTAGTACAGCCAATCACAGAACGCCGCATTTTTTGAAAACATTCACAAATTGCACAAAAATCTCTGGGTGACGTCACTCATAACTCCGCCTACATGCGCAATAACAAAATTGTATCTATAATATAAATACAATGCAAAAGGAAAATCAATATTCCGGACCAACACACATTTTTGGCTATGTAGTATTTGATAAAGTAATGGGCGGTTAAAAATGAGTTGCTGTCGAGTCGCCTTTGAAAGTTCAAGTTAATACTACGATTTCCCAAACAAAAATTGCAAAGGTGACTCCACAACTACTCATTTTTGATCGCATAGTACTTTATTCTTTAACCAAAAACCATCCTGTACTTATCTACAAAATTACTACACGCTGTATATGTTTTATTTATGGTATATGTAACCTATAAATAAAAGATGTATTTATTTATATTTATCTGGTAGTAAATATAACATTTAATTATGCGATCGCTTAGACCAACTCAACTGTCCTACCAAACGGACAAAAGCTGGACGGACGATTTACCAGTATGTAAGCAATCAGGAGTAGGCTTTGCGACGAACCAGATCTATCGAGAAGACGACCACCGACAACAAGAACATTCATTTGAAGATCGAAGCTGCCACTGGAGATTCAACGATACGTCTTACCTGTATGGAGTATTCGATGGACACGAAAGTGCTAGAGCTGCCGATTTCTGTTTTCAACGGTTAGCTGCCGAAATATTACTGGAGCAGTTAAACGAAAAAAAATCAGATGAGGAAACCAAGGAGGTTTTAAAGTTTGCACAATCGCATTCCTTCAAAACAGCAATTTAATTATGTTCTCCTAGGCAAGCATTTATTTCCGTTGAGAAGGGATATTTGGACTCAATTTATGATCGATTAGCCGAACGAGAGGCTTACTTCGACGAAATACCCCAAGGATTAAACTTGTACCAAGCGTATCAGGAGGTGCCCGATGTTGTAGAAAAAATTAAGAGAATCAATATCGAATTGTCTTCTGGAACAACTGCGGCGATAGCTCTTTTGTATAATAACAAATTGTTTGTCGCTAACGTGGGTAACAGCAGAGTTTTGCTTTGTCAAACAGATTTAAACTCGGTTTTGAAAGTTTTGCAATTAAGTATAGACCACGATTTACGGAATGAAGATGAGCTATTGAGACTTCACCAGATTGGAATGAATATGGATTATCTAAGAAAGTGTAAGTATAATTTGTTACAAAATTGCATATCCGGAATAGCTAAACTGTAGCATAGACAATCAACATAACAGTAGCTTTCTTTGTTAAAGTATAATGCGTAAACTTTTAACTGAACACACAAATATCCTATGTTTAGTTACCAGGATCAATATGCCTAACAGTTATGCAACTTACCTTACACACCAATTTGGCAGCAATATAAACAAAAGAATCTTAGTAGTTACTTTAGATATGTATTCGGCCGATTTGTTTAGCAGATTCGATTTATTAACTGTAAAACTATTTTTATGTTTTTTTCAGTTACTCGAATTTTATTGCAATTTGATTTTTTTCTACGCACGCTAAAATATTTAACTTCATTTCTACAATTAAAACGGGAAGTCCTTTTTCTTGTGAAATATTCATTAACAATTGAATCATCAACATGAAATTATTTAATGCTGTTGCTGCTGTGAATGGTGCCAATTGACGGAATTTGCTTATCAGGATATTTAGCAGCAAATACATCCTGTGATTATTGAAATACATCTGTAACATTTCCATTTTTCCTTTCTTTGTATACTTTTTATTAAAAATATAATTAAATAAATCTATTGACGTTTATTGAAAAACATTTGAAAAAGATGAAAGTAAGACTGGTTGTATAGTTTAAGGGGTAGGTCTATAGTATGTTTATGAATTGAACATAGGAGACTTGTGTTATATTATGCTTGTATGTTCGGAGTTAAAATTTACGCACGGCGTGTACAAACATTTTTTATTTACAAGGGTACAAATACGGTCTAACGTTCCATTTCTAGATACACAATATATTTGTGGTGCTTTGATTTGTTGTTGGTGCCCCCTAATAGTTTTCAGCATTAAAACAATGTTGCACAATATCGAATCCAAGTGACCATGAATAATACCATCTTATACATTTAATGTTTATACTAAATCGATGGTGTTTCAAACTACTTTTAAAATTATTAAAATAGCTACATGAAACGGTAAGAGGGGAAAAAGTCCCTTCATCAGTCTTGTTTTCATTTGCCATAGTAGCGCTCTATTGGATTCAGTGTATCTATTGCTCTTGTCTCTTTGACAATATTACATTTCCCAAATCCAGCTATATAATTTTATCATTTCGTTCAACATACCTGAGACAGTAAAACCATTGACTAATTGGGGGGGTATTAGTCAATGCTTGTAATACATGTCTACATGTTATGTTTTTTTAAATAAATAATACATGCAAATTCAAACTTAATTCTGATAAATACAAAAATCTACCTACACCAACAATTTAAATCAGTACCAATGTTATTTTGTTTTGAGTATATCAGATCAAAGAGCTCTGTGAAATGTGAATTAATGTTTAACTGCATTTCATCCGCTTCACATCTAGAAATCGACTTTTTATTAACTCAAGGAAGTGGCTACTGTTATATTGGTTGGTTTTGCCAGAGGCGACTGTAGGTATCTGGCAGTTTTTTTTTTTACCAAAACAGGTTAATGTGATTAAAGAACAAATTAATTGTTTTAGGTTCTCACTTAGGAAACCAAGAAAATACCCGTTGCCTGGGTAACTATTTAATAAAGGGTGGCTATAAAGAATTTGACGACTTGAAGGTATCTACACAGGAACCGGTTGTAGCTGAACCAGAAATTATCGGTGGAATACCTTTAGACGAATCTTGCCAATTTTTACTTCTTATGTCGGCCGGTTTATACAAGTCCATTGAGGAGGCGACTGGAACGGATCAAGTCAACAAGTACATTGCACAACTGGTAGTTGAACAAGTACGGCTTGATTCATGTGCTATTCTTTCTTAACAACATTTCTTCTAGTTTCGAGAGCAGGGAACACTCACGGGTGTTGCACAGGCAGTCGTCGATCGTGCTGTGCGACTACACCATGACTGGTATATGTCAAATTCCTTTAAGACGGGTTCCACAAAACGTGAAGATATAACATTAATTGTTAGAAATTTTAATTTCCCAATGCCAAATGCGATCACTTCTCCCACAAATCCCACAGTTACTTTTAATCCTATTTTAAACACAATTCCTAATAATTCCTCTAGTACCTTAACGTCAGTAAATGATAATTACAGGAGTAGTAGTATTGTAAGCACTAATGATACCTCAAGCAGCTCAGATGTTCGAAGCGACAGTGATATTGGTGTCGGTCCTGACCAAAGAATTGAAGGATATGTGGATTTTTCCAGCTATTACAAAAATGTCGAAATTGCTCGACAAAATGGTACTCTTCCAAAAGGGATTGATTTTTAAATATTTTATAAGATCTACTTTTTACAGATCTTTAGATAACTAAATGCTATTTCTTTTGTAGCTGTATTTAATAAATCCTAATTTCGGGGTGTGTATAGTAGTATATCCGCAACAAAAACAAAAGAGAGTCTTTCATTTGTCATGTCTGTCACAAAATTAGTTTAGTGAATAATATAACTTATAAGAACCACAATGCAACAAAATAATAATTGCACAAACGAAAAGATGTTAAGAGGTTTTATTTGATGTACTGATAAATACATAGGAAGCAAGTGCAATGTATTTAAATTTGGTTTGTGGAACTGCTCTTCATTTGTTTTCTTAGCGTCCTGTTTTAAACTTTACGTTTTTGTTTAAATTTCCACAACTATACTGCGATTGGTCTAAACTGTATCCGTAATTATAACCTATATGATATTATTGTAAAGAGAATTTCAAGCCCTTTAAGAATGTTACAGAAAAATGGATCCGTTCTATCATAGACTATCCTCTTCGTCTTTGGTTCTATTTAAAAAAAAATTGTTTTCTGATGCTCTTTTGTTTTTTTGAATATGTACCTTCATCAGAAAGTATTTTTGCCTCTTACACTTTTTTCCTATCTCCAATAATAAAAAAAAGTACCTATATACGCTTGGACACGCAAAATCAATCACGCTGTATTGATATGCCTCTGCTACTCATCGGCTAATAACCCTCTTCCACAGACCATCCCTCTTCTGGCCTCTTTAATCTTAAGGATAAGGGGTAAAGACCCAGAAAAGGGTTACTAATAGCATTGATTATATATATACTACGAACGTAAGTATATAATCAATGCTACTAACTATTATAGTAGTAATTTCTGGGGTAAAGAGTAGGGAATAATAATGGTAGTGTCTACTGTACTGCGCGTTTAGGACACATCCCAGTGTGTGACCACTACCGTTGGCGTATATAGAGACACCGTTCAAACGACAAGTACCGAAAGTGTTTACACAGCTTATTTACTATCCAGCTGCACAACTCTCTTGGCGGGAGCGGTTTGCGCCGATCTACGCGCGCAGCGCTTATGCCCCGCCTCTTGGGGTAAAAGACTGCATTGCCTGTTTGGCGTGCAATCAAGCCCAGTGTTACCACGTTGGCCATTGTCCCGAATTCAATTCAATTAGGCAATAAAATGTATTAAACACCCAACCCTAGTTTCATTGCAATATTACGTAATATTGTACAGCAAATTCTAAACGTTCACATTACAATACAGCTCAAAAATCACCTACTACGGTACTGTGCAGCGACCGCGCGATGAAAATTCGTTTAATCCGGCCCTGACTTTTACCCCAAGCGCGAGAAAGAGGGCACCATTCCATCTCGCTTGGTTGTAGACCGCCAGATCAAAGGCGCCGCTCGAGAGTTGCGGAGCTGGATAGTAAGTAAGCTGTGGTGTTTACATGTGTAACAACAAGAACTTTCGATGTCAGCATTTTAAAACATTGTTAGTCTGTATAGGAAGGAAATGGTGTGTTTAGTTTTGCAAGTTAGCTTTTTATCGGTTCATTTTGTGTTGGATTGGATTGAAGGTCACTTTGCTTTCTGTATCCATTGGGCTAAGTTCAATTTGTTCTAATTTGTGAATTGTGCCATTGTAAATTTGCAAAAAGGTATCTAATTTACTTAGTTGTAATATATTGTAAATTATGTCGCCTTCAGCTGTTTGTAATTCAGGGTAAAGTGATTCTTGAATTTGGTGGTACAATATTTGCATTCAATATAAATGTAATTTCTATTTTGACTTGTTTGAGATTGGTCAGTTATTAATTTTCATTTGTTTTGTTTAAACTCATTTAGATTGATTAGCGACTTCAATTCTTTGTGTATGACTGCCTTTTTCACTCTTGCAGAAATAGATGCCGAAGTGATAACAATATTTAACGGCATTCATCTCTAAATAGAAATGTAGTCAAAGGTTACCACCGTATCCAGGACCTTCAGATACATTCTGGATTGGATGAGGTCCGGCTAATTAACAATGCATGTTATGTACTTTAGGTATGTAAGAGACATCGGAATGTATTCCTTCACAAATGGGAAGGGATGGAAGATGCTTTTAAATCTACTTAGCTGGCCCAGGTAGAACACAATTACAAGGCAAGCTGCAACGGGGTAATACGACAATATGCCAAAATTACTACGCAATGGAACGGTAATTGTTCATAAACATATCTTTATTGTTTATGCACTAGGAGTTCTCTAGATACTTTTTGGTTACTGTTTCAATGTTGAATGGTTGGGTTTCGCCCCCAGGACTTGGGTGTAGTTTGGACCGACCAACTTATTCTAGATGTGGCTTCTCGTTGATTCGATGTGGAGTGTAAATTGTCCTCCCAGGTGTGTTCTGCCCGGACCAGTCACTGAAACGACATGCTATGTTCTGTCGTGGAATATCTCAAGTATCTCGATTTTATTACATTGACGGCCAGTTGCACAAAAAAAATAATCCAGGATTATTGTTTAATCCGGTATTAAGACATTTGATTGGCTTTATACTGCAGTATGCAGCCAATCAAATGTCAAAATTCTTGTTTAATCTCGGATTTGGCAAATAATCTAGGATTTTGATTATAATTCGCTTTCCTGCAACCGGCCGTGAATCATTTAATTTACCTCATTACAATATAAATGCGCAAAGCAGTATATATGATCCTGTTCTATGAAAATATGAATGTTTAATCTGCTCTGATGAGAACACACAATGAAATAGATCATTTAACTAAAATAATCCATATGTACTAAGGGTGCGGCTCGCTTGAGCGGCGCAACGCAGCGAATTTTAATTAAAACCCATTTAATATACATCAACAATTAGCCCAAGTTTAAATAGGTATATATACTTACCTACCACTAAATTACACTCCAAATAAAAGCTGACGTTTTTTTCAGTACCTACCAGGTGTACCCCTTAGGCCTAATAGCTTGTATTGTACCTATCGTTGTTCAACTTTAATTCTCGTTGTTCAATTTTAATTCGGCCTGACTGAATAAGGAAATTTGATTGGTTACAATAAAAAAATTATTCAATGTAAGTCAACTGAACTGTCATGATACAAATGTCGTAATCTATGTAAGGAGCAGACCATTAGTTCTACCAACATTGTAGACTCGAGTAAAAGCATTCACTAAATACTGGTTTATTTCTAATCAGTCTATAGTTTACAATATATTATTGCTTTTATTAAATTTGATAAAATTTGCAGGTGTCCGTGTTAAATTTATTTATTTTTAGACATTTTAGGCATTACTTTCGTACATAATGGATATGTGTTAAAAGTTAATGGGTTTGGATAAGACAACAAATGATAACATTTTTTACGTCGAAATGCGAATTCGGCGCGATTACAAAAAAGAAAAGAGACAACGATCAATTTTTGTCCTAATATTGGTCTTTTGCAAGTTTAGCAGTGTATGTCTTTCAAATAAATTGTTGACAATCGTATAGAGAATTATTAGTCTGTATTCTATTTCATTACAATACCAGATGCTTCGAAAATGAACTATACAAACCGTAAAATTTCAAAATTTTCTTGGGGTTTCCCTAGCTACGCCACTGATTAAATCTCTTGTCAGTATTATCTGGTCGAGGTTTGACTATGTACTTGTGCAAAATCGTAATAAAAGTTATCTTTTATTTGTATTTCTGCTGTCGTATTGTGGCCATGTTCTATCTATCTATGTTCATAGTTTTTTTTTATAAAGGATTTCAAATCAATAGAATACAAAAATTACCACACTAGCTAAATAAAAAAAAACAAATGTCATAAGTTTATTATTCCTAGTCACTCTGATGAGCTAAACTTACAGTTGCTATACTTACAAAAATATACAAGATTAAAATGGAAAACTGTTGTCACAATTTAGGTTGTTTAAAACAGAAAATTTCCTTAGATTGCAATAAATACAATCAACTTTTCCACTAAAGGACAAAGGCTTGCTACAATTTTTTATATGAAAATCAGATTTTAAAATATACACTTGAAAGATATAAACTAAGGCAATTTAACCTTAGTATTATAAAAGTATCCTTATTTGTAAGAAATTGATTGGCATTTTTTAAAAACCAGGAAGACGATAGACACTAAAGAAAATGAAGAGCTCAAGCAGGAAAGTCAGTGCTAGGATGGGAAGAAAGAGGAGTGGGGGAGGGAAGTCATGGAGGAGATGACAATGTAAATGAAACGCTGACACATAGGTACCTTTGTACTGCGATTATAAAAATACAATTTGCAATTGTACAGGCAATTGTAAAGGCCTATTTTCATATTATTTAAATGCGATATTAAACGTCGTCCATGACACATTTTAATTAATTTAATTTAAATCGATGTTGCTTAATAGTTTTGTACATTTAGACAAATCACGCCTACAAAATGTTGAAGATGATCATTACAAAAATTTATTCTATCATACACCATACACGGTATTCTGAACATTAACATGCTCTGGGCATAGTCTTAAAACGTTCAAATGCGGCTTTCTCTAAACTTTCGCGGTGATCGGGATGCGCGACATTAATTAAAGCATGCGCCCTTTGTAAAAGCGTTCTTCCGAATAGTTCCGCGATACCATGCTCTGTTACGACATACTGCGCGTGCGCTCTACTTGTTACAACTCCAGCACCAACTTTTAGAGTCGGCACAATTTTAGTTTCCTTCTTATTGGTAACTGATGGTAAGGCAATTATAGGTTTGCCTTTGCCGTCCAGTGCTTCTCCAGCACCTCTAATGAAATCAACTTGCCCTCCAAATCCAGAATACATTCGTGTCCCTATGGAATCGGCGCAGATTTGACCTGTCAAATCAACTTCTATGCAGGAATTAATGGCGGTCATATTGGGCAATTTCGCGATAACCTCTACAGCAATGGGATTAAATTAAATTTGGAAGTACATGTGCAAATTACTTACTCGTATTATTTACATAATCCACTCGTAACATTTCAATGGAAGGATTGTTGTCGACAAAATCGTATATAGGTTGGTGACCGACCAAAAATGAACCGACAATACGACCCGTGTGGATTGGTTTCTTCGCGTTTGTAATATTTCCATTCTGTACCAGATCTATTACACCGCCGGAGAACATTTCAGAGTGTATTCCGAGATGCTGGTGATTTTTTAGAGAATGCAAAACCGCATCTGGAATGCTACCAATACCTGAAAAAAATATGTTATCAGACACTCTTCTTGTTCTATGGGCGTTAGCATGAGTAGGTATATTTTTGTGCCATGATCACCAATTTTCCGTTACAAATGCTTAACTGGAATAATAAAAGGGCTTGATGAGGTATTATGTGTTCTGTGGCATGCGCATGTGAAAAGCTGAACGCGCCGCGTTATGGGACATCTTGCTGCTGGCGAATTGAACTTTTTGGAACATATGTTTGCGATTCTGGAGTGCAGCTTGTGCTTCTACCTCCACAAAGGAACAATTAGCAATGTTACATAATATGTACTTGAGTCTACGCCTACTGGCATTTTTGCGGTTATCCCAAAGAAGCGGGTTATGTAAATATTTCACTGTTTACCAGATACGAGATGAGCATAGTATATACAAAGTCCCTATTCGCGATTCAGATTAATACTACAGGTGTAGTTTATCCTGCCGTTTTTGAGACTTGAAAATATAACTCCATCATCATAGCCTACCTGAAGGGCCTTTTTCTTAAGAACTTAATTGTCTAATTACAAATAAAAATCACAATTTATCATATAACGTTACAACTCGCCGACATTCCCTTACATCGATTATGCTTTAAAACAGCCTTACTACTCGTGGCATAATTACACTGACCACAAATTAAGCAATAGGCATTTTTCGAATTGTTGTGCTTTAATAAATGCCGATTTAAGTTTTTCTTACTATTTGTGGGATACCTAATCGCACAGAGTGCACGTAACATCCTTCAATGTGAATACGCCGCTTTAAGTTATGCTTATTGTGAGTAGCGCAATTATACTGCTAAAAAATCAAATAATTCATTTCTCTGAAGAATGACGTATATATTTCCTACCTCAATTTTCTCTTGTGTAATTGCACTGTTCACAATTACACACTTTGGAAATGTTACACATTAGACGATGATTCTTTAACATTCTAGTTGTTGGTTGTGTAATTGCACTGTTCACAATTAAAGACTTTGGAAATATTATGCGTTAGATGACTATTTACTGATCACATTTAAAATTCTTGAATGTAACATGATAAAATGTGTCGTTTTAAATTATCGTTGCTCTTTAAAATGTAGTTACATTGATTGCAAATTTACAGCGGTAAAAACTATACAATCTTGTTTACTTTTGGTCATTGTAAATAAACAAAATGGCGGTATTATACCACCAATAATAATTGCAATGTTCTGTTACCAGAGGTCTTACTGTTAAGCTGAATCGCAAATATATAGTACAGCAGTCCCATAGTTAACAGTCGCCACATTGAAGGATAAGGGGCGAGAAGTTTGAACTAACAATTAAAAATTAAAAATTTAATAAATGTTAATGCCAGATTATTTATTTATTGTCCCTCTCTTGTTCTGGGCCCTCAATAGGCTTGCGCCCAATTACAGAGTGACCCGCATAATGCTTTTTAGAGGTGCCTCTGCAGAAGTTGTTCTATACTACTCCGGACTCCGGTATTTACCTTACGAATTAGGGAAACTGCAGGAAAACCTAATTCGGAGTAACCGGCAGAATGCTCGAAACTGATCTAAGGAAATTCCCAACTCTGTCACAGATGAAAAATTCTTACCTCAGCCCAGGTTCGAACATCCGACCTTCAGTTTTATAGCCCAACTAAACTTCTTTAAAATCGAGCAAAGCAGAACAAAACATCAAATACTATACACAAATCAAAAGGATAAAAAAAGGCAATTGTAATTTGTGGTGCTAACAAATCAATTATTTCAGCTATTGTCATGGAAACAAAAGTAATATAAACGGCCAATTATTTCAGCTATTGTCATGGAAACAAAAGTAATATAAACGGCCACTACATATGCAACAGAAACAGATCCTTCGAACACCTCAGATATTTCCCTCATTAGCCGAATGTAGCTTACATTTCCTATATTGTAATTTAAACAAGGTAACTGGAATTCCCAGATCATTAAAATAACAATATTTCACAAAATAGTAATTAAATGTTAATTGTCGAAAGGTATTACCTACAAAGCCAAAACCAGTAATAAATCAAGGTAAACTAACCATTCCAAAAGCATGCAAATATTAATTAACACCCGATAATCATTACGTTGTTTCTATGTTTCATCACCTTTTAAAATATAGCCGCGAAAATGTGCTTATCCTGATTTTGTGCTGTCACAATGTGACAAGGCCTTGAAATTAATTTCACAGTACTTAATGTTTGTTATGTTCAAATTATTAAAATAAATTATTTACCCATCTGTAATGTGGCGCCATTTACAACCAGATTTTCGGCAATCAGCTCTCCAATTTTCGCCTCCACTTCCGTCGGCGGTTTACCTCCATGCTGTGGTAGTTGTTCGTCAACGCAAACAGCAAAGTCTATGTGACTCGTATGTATCAAGCCATCGCCAAAAGTTCTGGGCATTTGTTTATTTACTTGTGCTAAAGAAAAAGGTATTAAAATGTTTGTTGAGGAAGAATGAGAAATGGTGGATGAAAAGAAATTAAAAAAACTGATGTCTCCAAATGGTCTAGCAAGGTACCTCATAAAAAACACGCACCTACAATATATTTGGAATGAAGACATGCAGCTCTTGCGCAGTCGACACTTGTACCCAAACTGCAGAAGCCATGTTCGTCTGGAGGCGATACCTAAAAAAAATGAGAATTCGCTGTAATCTTTCTGTTAATTGGTTTGTAGAAAAATGTATAAAAATTTGGACACTTTAAAGTTTTGTATTTCACTAATAAAATGTTAATTGAATTAATTAACAAAGCAGGAAGCTCTACGATAAGGAATTCGATAAAAGTTCTGGGGTCTAAATTATATAAAATTTATTGTTCATGGAAAAATGTGAACCCACAACATAATACATACCATTTCTCAATATTTTGTAACAATAGTACTCTTTATTGCAAAAAATCCGATACAACTGAATACCGAACGATCTCAACAAAGTTATCATGCACATGGACAAAGAGACAGACGGACAGACAGCAATCGAAAATAAATACAACTTCAGAAAGAAGTTCAAATGGATACCACCCCCAGTTTCTCCAATTAACATTGCTTAATGCTGAGAAAAAAAAAGTTTACATATTTTTTAGGAGTATGTATTCAAACTTATTCTAAGATATTCCGGAATATTCGGAGATATTCTTAAGTGTTTCAATTATTCTTATTTAGTCAAACGACCCTTGGTGAATAAAATACAAGTTTGATCCCTTGAGTAACCGGTCGCCTTATTTGTATTTTCTTTAGGGGAATTTATATTTATATAGTCAATTTAAGTATTATTCCTTAAAAGCTAGAAAGAATTGTAAAGTTCTCTTTTAAAGCGGGAGCTTCGTATTTATAGGTGCCGTTGTATTATCCATAATGCATTCAACGTTCTTATCTTAAAATATCCAGAGAGCTATATAAGACCAGTCGCAATGGAAAGGGAGCATGTCTAGTCGAAAAGCAGTTGCCTCAATATCTGCGTCAAATTGGGCAAATTCACATTTACCAATCCTCCGACCGCTTTTGGAAGAAAAGATTCGTACGGATTACGAAGTCAGTATAGGAAAAGCTTCGCTGAGAATCATATGATGAAGCATCTTCATCACTTCACTTCCCGGAACAATTTTCCAACTATGTGAACCAAGCTTGCGGGTTGGAACAAGACGTCCTGTAAAACAAACTTGTGTCCGGTTAACGCAGATATTTACAAGTGTAATCATTATTGGACCATAATCGCATTCAATGGAATTAGACTTATTTGCTTGTAAACGGAATAATTTCCTTCTCAAATTTTGCGTTTGTATTATAGTCTTGTAGTTTCGCCATTTTATAACGGAAGTATACCAGAATTTTTAAAATGCGCGCTGTGGCGGGGGCGGGGTTTATCAGCGGAGTCGGCCCAAGGTTGGTATATTACAGGTTGCCTCGTAACTATCGACCAATAGCAATCGAGGCGCGAATACGTCACTGGTATCCCACGATTTAAACGAAATAATAAATGCATGCAGCCATACAGCTGGAAAATTTGATGCGTAGCTATTGTTTACAGTTCTTTGATGATGTTTGAATCGTTTAACTACTGAAACACAAATATTCATTTTATATTTTAAAATTTAGTAATTATAAATCGTTATATAATACAGTCAATCTTCGTCTGATGTACCAGTGTTTACCGTGAAAGATAAACAGCTTCATCTAACAATCAATTGCGTAGTCACAGTTTATATTGTCTCTACACTTAAGTCTTCGATTTGTAGATGAGATAGGCGGTATCAACGAGACCATATGATCCTCCTGCTTCGGTCAGTTTTAAACACGTTCATCTTCTGCCGACCCGCTTTTCCCTAAAGCATCATTTTCTTTCATTTTCCGTAAATATCGTGACCGCCAATCAACAATGTTGCTACGTTCCATCAATAATTGAAATTGAAATTAACATTACCTAATTTAGTTATGAGTTTTATTGATTTGCCGTCACAGCAGCAGCTAGCTCTGTAGCCTTTTCCAAAGGAAATGCCCACATACGGCAGCTTTCTGTTTGTCAAAGAATTCCACGACCCTTTTAATAATATTTCTAGGTTCTGAATGCACAGGTTCAATATTTATAACCTTACGCGTATGTCACATGACAAGTAATGACAAGGTAACGAAATTTGAGTGGCTACCAGTGACGTCACGAGCAGACGACTTGATCCCCATTATTGCAGTTACGAGGCAACCTGTAATATACCAACCTTGGAGTCGGCCGTCAGGCGTGTCGCGATTTGTTTACTTTCATTCGGCTTTCGCATAAAATATTATGTCTTCTGTTTCCGCTTCTGCGCGTTAAGCCCCGAGAGCGTTCTCGTTGAGCGGCCCCAAAATTTAAGTCAATCACCATAGGTTAGTGAGGGGCGGTTTCAGATTTTGTGAAAGAACTTACATGAATGTTTGTGTTCGAAGATTTCGAAGTAGCACACGATCAAGGTTTTTAACTCGGTTTTTAATGCAAGAATCACGTGTGACTACGATAGTTTCGAACTGTACGAGTAAAATCTTAATCACGTGAATCAATGTTTTGTGAACTCATTTTAAAGGATAAATTGCGAACAAGAAAATTAGATGCGAATATGGATAGCGTAAGTTTTAAAACGCGCGAAATTAAATTCATAGGCCCCGAAAACTAGAACAATGGGTTTAGTAATCATTTGTATATTTAGGTCAAGGGAGCCTTGAGTTAGGGTACTCTCGATAATCCGCGGTAATTGGGGTTGGTGGTACCTATATAGGATTTCGAAAAAGGCAGAGTACACGGAAAAATAAAACACGAAACTATTTTTTATTATAAAGAAGTGAAATTTAATGTAGAATAGGTACATGTTTAAACTTAAAGATACATAAACAGTGTACATAACTTTTGAAGTACCTAGAATTCAAATTGATTTTTGCTATTACTATGAAAAACCGAGAATGAAAGCAGATTTTAATTTTTTAACATATGTAGGTAAATATTTTGTGTTGTTGATGCGATCTAGAGTAAAAGTGAGACGAGTAAGTTTTTAATCGTAGAGAAGAAAAAGATCAATTCTATTAAAAAATCTCTGTTGGATTGAGCTAGCCGTCGGCATCATTTTTGCAAGAAATTACTATTATTTTAAAAAGCAAAATTAATAGCACCAGTCCTAAGTTTGTAACCGCCCATTACAGACTCCAGCTAAGACACAGAATAACACATGAATTTAGACAAATTAAAAAATGCACTTTTGTTAATGTTAGTGAAGAACTTCAACGTCCTGGTGGAGAACATTTTAAACATTTAATAAAAGAAATTTATACAATCAAGACGTGAAATGTGTAAATTAACTTCGCCCTAGCTATCCAAATGGGCATGTTTTTATAATTTTTGATTTTTTATCAAAATTGAAAATTACAAACGGTGCGGTGGTTCGTTTTGAAATAAAAGACCTGTATTAAGTATCTACGTGTAATGTGTCTAACGCCCTGGTAGGCTATTGGCCATAATAGCTTTTACTCAACCTAAAATTATTTCAGGGCATAAATTAGGCAACAATAGTTAAAAAAACAATATAATACGTAAATGCTTTGAAATCTAGTTGGTTATGATAGGAGATTGCTTTCAAGTTTCAAAGGTGAAAACGAATTTTGATCATTTTAAGTATCAGAATAATTCTGTTGCAGTGTTAATCAATTAAACATGCAATCAGTCAATCCAAAAAGATATTTTTATAAATAAACGAGTATTTGTTGTGGTAAGCTAAGCAGATAACATAATCTTTCTATTATTGAATTTATACATAACATTGTGCGTGCGTAGTTTTTTTCTCCTACTTCGCTACAAACTACAAAACGAAATGTTAGGTTTTTTATTTTTGGAAGTGAAAGGCCCTTTTTGGGGCTAGATCAATTTAAAAGCCACATCTATCACTGAAGCCGAGTTCAATGACACATCGTTCATTAAAATCGGTCCAGTAGTTTTTGCTGTGCCCCGGTCAACGTTCAGGAAGAACATGCAGTAGCAGCCAGCAGTAGAAAGTGAAAAAGATTACCAATGAATATCTCCGGTTAAAATCTTTTCTTTTAACATCAGAAAGCTTGCCCCTTTACAGGGATACACCTCCATGTTCTCTACCTTTTAAGGATTTTGAGCTTCAATAGCGTGAATTTCACAAGTTGGGTTGTGGCGCGTAATATCGCTTGATAGTGCATTAATAACTGACACTGGGGGCTCGTCCTAGGACGGGATTTGACATTTAACCCTACCACCGGAAGTTGATTCTTGGGTTACGAACTCGCTTGGAATTATTACATTTCGCTTATTGCTAATCCATGCACAGTTTAACTGAATTCGTCTGTGTACTTTCCGAGCTATGAGTTGCGGCTGCAACCATAGAGACGCACGCCAACTGCATAATTATATATGTATATGAACATCCCTAGTAAATATAGTTAACCGGATAAATAACTTTCAAAATCCTCTTCTTTTCGTAATTTATTTCCGAGGAAGAAATGCCCTACCACCCTACGTTAGGTCGTACCCCCGGCCTCCGGTCAATATTTCTGTAAGCGTCGATGCACAATATTGCAAGCTGTGTCAACGGAAAAAGGGTAAGCACCTAATAAAGAATACAAACTACTGCCAGCGCAAAAATGTTGTAAACTCAATTTAGTTATTCTTCTTATCTCTTTCAAAATCTCTTCAAGAACTTTTCAAAGTCATCAAAATCTGTTCAAAGTCACCTCAAAACCATTCGAAGTATCTTCAAAATCGGTGCAAAATCCGTAATCCCTTCAAAATATTGTAACGTGATTTATAAATTCGGGTTCGATTTATATCAATATTTACTATAAAAACATCGATATCTAAAACACTTCGCAATTTATCTTTCCGTGCTCGATGTTTACGTACTCGTTCGGTAGTAGACTGCCGCGATGTTCGGTCCGCAACCATTTATACACGCAAGCAATGTAAGTCCAGTACATTCTCGAATATCGCGCGCGTAGAAAATTCCAGAGCGCCAAAGGCGACGTCATGTCTGGAGCATTTCCGTTACACTGCCCCCTTCTTAATTCTGGACGTCTCGTTCAGAAACTGCGTTAGTATTACTTTTTAATGCCTCGTGTCGGAATCTGCAGTCAGAGCCTGCTCGACAAACACCTTTCTTGAAAAAGTAACAGTCCACAGTTTTGCGGAGGGTCGTCCCCTGTGGGTTGAAGCAGCATACTGTAATTCGAACGCTAGTGTTTCTAAAAATCACTTCGATCATGGTTCGCACTATCTTCCAGTCCAACCCATCTAAACCACATCCAATCTTCGGGATCGCCAAGCTATTTATGTCATAGTATGCCATGAGTTTCCTTAAGCTTTTTAAAGCAGACCAGAGGTTTTCATAGGTGGGTTTGCCTTCTGACGTTTTCTTTGAAACCAAGTAGAACAAAGAGCGTTGACTATCTTCCAAGCGCAGTACTTTACCCACTCGTGGTCTTTGCTTTAACAACTCGTCTATTCTTCCAAATCTTTTCCGGAATACGGAAGCTATACCTCTACTCATGCTAAGGTCTTCGGCGACACAATGGGCGATGGAAACGTTAACCGGAAGCTCAAAAATATTTTGACAAATTTCCTGAATAACGCCAAATCGAGCTTTCTTCCGCTGGGCGTAATTTGACATAAACTCGTTAAAGTTTGGCTCGATCCCACAGCTGCGTTCCTCTTCTCGAATACCTCTAACTTCTTCGTTGTTGTTGGATCCGGCATATCGTGCGAGTCGATTAATGTGGACAACTTTCGGTTTCCGGTGGTTCATTCTGATACGATATATCACGTCATTTATTTTCTTGATCACCTCATACGGACCTTCCCATTGTCTTTATAGCTTGGGAGAAAGACCTCTTCGTCTCTGTGGATTGTGCAGCCATACCAGATCATCAGCTTCAAAAGTTTCATTGACCGAGCGGAGGTTGTATTGATTTTTCATGCGATCGCTGGCAATCTGAATATGACTTCTAGCCAAGTCGTGAATATCGTTCATCTTCGCCTTTAGTTGGTCAACATAATTTTCACCTGCGACATATTCTTCATGGGGTTTACGCCCAAACTCGAGATCACATGGAAGGCGTAGTTCACGACCCAACATAAGGCAGGCAGGAGTCTGACCTGTGGTCTCGTTGACGGCTGATCGATATGCCATAAGGAACAGGTGGAGGTACTGGTCCCAATTTTTCTGATGTTCTGCCACGACTTTTGAAAGATATTTACCCATCGTTCGATTCATTCTCTCAACCATTCCATCTGACTGAGGATGCAAAGGTGTTGTTCTGGTTTTATTGGCTCCTACCAATCGACAAACATCTTGGAACAAAGCCGATTCAAAGTTCCTTCCTTGGTCTGAATGGATTTCTATAGGAACACCAAAACGTGTAAAGAACTCCTTTACCAACACTTCTGCAACTGTTGCTGCCTCTTGGTTTGGAATGGCGTAAGCTTCAGTCCACTTTGTGAAATAATCCATAGCCACTAGGATATATTTATTTCCGCCATCTGTCTCGGGAAACGGTCCTGCGATATCGATAGCAACTCGTTCCATCGGACTACCAACGTTATACTGCCTCATGGGCATAACTCACATGTTTGACACCATCGCCGGACATCTTCTTTACGGTTGACCCAATAGAATCGCTCACGTACCCTTTGCAACGTTTTCGTAATACCAAAGTGCGCCGTCATGCAATTTTCGCAATACTTCCGACACTTTGCTTCTAGGTACTACTAATTGCAGCGTCGATTCGGTGCCATCTTCACTTTCAAGGGTCCTATACAACAGGTTGTCTTTCAGAGTCAGGCTATTCCATTGGCCCCAATAACTCTTTACTTCAGGACTTGTGACACTAATGTCTTGCCAGCCTGGTCTTTGTCCGTGGCGCATCCAATTCAGAACAGTTTTTATACTTGGGTCGTTTTCTTGGGCCGTTTTGATTTCGCTTGGCTTCCATTCCTCACTCTCTACAGTTGTTCGTCGCAGATGGCCAATCTTGTCTTCTATTTTAGAACAATGTGTGCAGTTGTCCTTGCACGGTCTTCTTGACAAAGCGTCTGCATTATTGTGAACTTTTCCAGACGACGAAATGTTTACAGTGAAGATCGGGGCTTTGTTTCTGCAGGTCGACGATAGCCCCTTCCTGTCGACCTTTCTTAGTTTTCCGACTGCTGCAATGGTTTTTGGCAGTTGCGGCGAACGTGTCCAATCTAGCCGTGGTTCACTTTTCTTTGCCAGTGACTGTATTGCTTTATTGATCTTTTCTTCCATTATAGCGGCAGCAGATCTTGTTACAGGCATACACAAGCACAAGCACTTAATTTAATTTTATTTACTTTTAATTAATTTAATTAATTCCACTCCTGACACCAATGTAACGTGATTTATAAATTCGGGTTCGATTTATATCAATATTTATTAAACAGAACTAAAACACTATAAAATCCGTACAATTTATATCGATTATTTATATCACTCACAAATTTATATCGATTATTTATATCACTCACACTTCGCAATTTATCTTTCCGTGCTCGATGTTTACGTACTCGTTCGGTAGTAGACTGCCGCGATGTTCGGTCCGCAACCATTTATACACGCAAGCAATGTAAGTCCCGAACATTCTCGAATACGCGTAGAAAATTCCAGAGCGCCAAAGGCGACGTCATGTCTGGAGCATTTCCGTTACAATATCTTCAAAATCTTCAAAATTTCTTGTCTCTTCACAAAATCGCTTCAGAATTCTTTCAAAGTCTCTTAAAAGCCTTCTAAATCTCTTCAAAATCCCTTCAAAATATCTGCAAACTCTCTACCACTCTTCAGTCTTCAAAATTCCTTCCAAGTCTTCACAAAATCGCTTCAAAATCTTTTCAGTCTCTTCAAAGTGTCTTTAAAATCTCTACAAAATTTCTTGTCTTCTGGGTCTTCCCAGTCTCTTCAAAATGACTACAAACTCCCTTCAAAGTCTTTTCAAAGCTGCTTCAAACTCTTCTTAATCTCTTTAGAATCTATTTAGCGCTATTTAGAAACTCTTTAATATCTCGACAAAATTTCTTTAAAATCTCTTCAAAGACTTCAAGGTCTCTGCAAAATCTTTTAAAAGTCTCTTCTTTATCGCATAAAAATGTCTTCAAAAAGACAAAAAACTTCCCAAAATCTCTTCAGAATTTCAACAAAATATCATTAAAATCTCTACAAAATATCTTTAAAATCTCCTTAAAATATGTACAAAATCTGTTTCAAATCTTTTCAAAATCGCAAAGTTTCCAAGAAAGTTTCAAAGTTCATAATTTCTTCAAATTCTTTTCAAAGTCTCTCCAAAATCTCTTCCAATTTACCGCTGTGTCGCGACCATTTCGCACGAGAATTTAGTCGGTACGTGTAGCGGGAATCGCCCGATGACCGCACGGTGGTAAAAATTGTGTTAAACAAAAAAATATAAGATTTTTCAATTGATCTCGAAATCGATTTCCTACTGCTGTCCGCATGCCCATATGGAAAATTGGTACACATGTTCTTAAGGACATAAGAATGGGCGCAGGTACACAACCGCGTCAAAAAGTTGTAGCACAAAAACTGACCAATACCTCCAACACAATGGTTTCGTTTATAATTTACACTAGAAAGAGCATAAATGAAGCTCCGGTTTTCTTGTGTCCGTATTCCTTAAGCATGAAGCAACTATCTAGAAGCGAGATTGTCTTGCGCGTGCGCAATGAAAAAAAAATAATCCAGACGGATATTTAAAAAAATTGATGTTGGTATCTAAAAACCGAAACGTCACATCGCAAAAGTAAAATCATTTTCTTATACAGAAAAGTACCTTGGTGGTTTTCTAATGAATAAAAAATCCGTACAAAAATAAAAACGAAAATTCCGGTTCCGTTCCTGCAAGTAAAAGGATTTTTTTATTTTCTTTAAAAAAAATAATTCAGCATATTAAAACGCGTGCAATTTCGCCTCCATATTTAACTAACTCTGTATCTCTTATAGTTAGCTACAACAATGCCAATGCATTGTATAATCGTTTCTTTTATCTTCACAATGTAGATTGTGTCTCTTTAAAAAAGTATCGAACCTAAACCGCATAATTAAGATTGTGATAAATTTTAACCACAGCTAATAGGGGTCAATTTACCGTAGCTATTTGTAGTACACTGTGGCCAAGATAAGGATGTCATCATGAAACCATAGAAGATACGACGATGGTTAAATTAGGGAAACGTTGCCCAATTAAACAGTTATTATCATTCTTTAAAGAAAACCTAAGAAATACCAGAAAAACCGAAAATCGCCGATTTTGTTTTTATTTTCTTATGATGTTATTTGAGCTCTTAAAGACAGCCTTAAAAAATGTTTAATACAACGTTTCGCTTTCGTGAAATCATCATCAACGTAATTTTTTATATGGTCCGTAAACAAATGCATACCGTATTGAGTAGAATATTTTTACTACGGATACAACGATGTACACCACACACAAAAAACAAAAGTTGGAAGCTGTTTTTTTCAACAAGACGGTGCACCCGCGCACAACACCCTAATTGTGCGAGAATACCTATCGGACAAATTTTCCAGAAAGAATCCGAGAAGATACTGAATTCACCAACTACAGAGATGCGATGGCCAGATAATTTTAATTCATTTGCAATTGCTCTCTACGCCTTTTCTACAACATCCCATTTACTATAATCTTGCCGTTGATAATCATAAATACATAAATCTACCTAGATATTGCTAAACTACTCGCAATATTTATTGGTTTTCGACATGCAATTCGTGTCGCTAGCAACACAGATTGCTCAACAGAGACGATAAGGCGATATCACGTTGCGTCGGTATACAAGTTGCAGTATGAAAGAATGCGAAATACATATTGGCAATACTATGGGCCATGGCCTAATAAGAGTAAGGCCATGGCTATGGTCTATTGTTTGTTGCCAGTTACTAATTGCGATTGTTCCGGTGTGCGAGTCCCCTCAGAGAAACTTCCAATGCGCTCTTGCTTTTGGAAGAAAAATGTGCCATCCCCATCGTCACATGCTTACTCTACCTGGACGTTATTATTTACTTACCGAAACTAGAGCAACTTCAGGCTTAAAAATTTTCCGAGTAAATAATAATGGAATCTCGGACAAGAAAATTGGTATAGCGTCTCCTCGTCCATCTTGCACGGCTTTACGCACGTTCCCGCCCATAAATGTCGAAACTGATCTACAGTCATTTCGGTTATGTATTTATAGGGACCAGGGAAGAGCTTACCTAAAAACATCTTTGAGCGCCGGATCTGTGTACACTGCCTTTCCTTCCGTATGCATGTGTATAACTTGTACACCTTCGAGACAGTTATTTTTGCCGTACTCGGTCATGGCGCCTATTAGGAATATGGGTGTTGCTGCCGCGCCATGCACGAAGACGGTTTGACCTGCAAAGAGCCCAACAATTAAAAAGAATATAGATAACATTGGCGAACGAGGTTATATATTAAATGACAATAGCACCATTCCATAATATGAGAGCGATCCTCCGATTCATCACTTTCCTGCTTTCGTGTGTGTTGTACAGAAAAAATTAAACAAGATACGTAAGATCAGGAGCTTTTAGAGCTTTTAGCCCAATGAATCATTGGTTTACTTGGAAATTTCATCCCCACTATAAATCAATTTTACACACTTGTTACACCCTGTACAGATGTACACATTGAACCGTTTTAGTTGAAACAATATTATTGGCTTCCTAGCTCGAGCTGGATGGCCATTGCGATCACTGTTTTTTGGACATGTCAAAATTTCTTCAAATGTGGACGTTTTAGATCATTTTAAGATGATTTTAAGCGAGATTTTAAGCAACTTATAAAAATATAAAAATTTTCCGTCTGTATGTATATATACAGGGTGATTCCTATAGTACCTGCCACCGTTTGGGAGCGTATAGGGGGTGCCTAGGGGAGTATTTTGATATAGGACACTTGGGGTCGGAAATCTAAAACAAGGGCGCCAGAACCAAATTTATCTTCTGGAATTTCACGCCTGTATGTAGGCAACCCAACCGACCGACGTTTCGCGCGGAGCGATGCAGAGCGAGTTAGCGCGAGGAAGCGACATGGGAGGGAAGGAGGGAAAACGACAGTCAAAAGCAATAACGTTTACAAGTGTTCAACGTGGCCACCGTTGTTCTCAATGCACTTCCTACATCTAGCCAACTATTATTATACTATTGCCATAGTGTTTATTCACTTGATACGCGTCGTTGCAGACGGGATTTCGTGGGTTTAAACAAATTCTGATCAAGTGTCAGCCACACATCGCCGCCTGAGATCGCTCCGTGTGCACCGCCGGCCGGTTGGGTTGCCTACCTACAGGCGCGAAATTCCAGAAGGTAAATTTGGCTCTGGCACCCTTATTTTAGATTTCCGACCCCAAGTGTCCTATATCAAAATACTCCCCTACGCACCACCTACACGCTCCCAAACGGTGGCAGGTACTATAGGAATCACCCTGTATAGGGTGTTAATACTAAGTCCGAAAGTAAGTCGTTACATCCGAAAACGGCAATTAGAACTCATAACAAACAACTTTTCTTACTTCCAATTTTTAATTTTTTAGTAGTCAGTTTGGCGTAGCGGTAGTTCGAATCCCACAACTAGCCAGTTTTTAGTGGTACAGAACATCTCCTGATTACCATGCTTCGGAGGGCATGCACAGCTGACGGTCCCGGCAGTCATACCACGACTGTCGTTAAGTCACACAGACGACTGTTAATGCGACCTGAAAACGTCTGTACCTAGGGAGTGCCACCCATACGATACTTTGATATATTTGATACGATGATTTGTTTTTCGAAAAATCTATCCTGTGAAGGAGGCAATTTTGGAAATCGAAATTGAAACAAAACTGAAAAAATGTTTGGGGCAAATTTTGTAGTAGATAGTAGAGGGATTTTATAAATCAATCAAAAATCGATGGGGTGGTTATCAAAAAATGTTTTTTGAAATTTCTGATCAATCTATTTTGTTATTTGAAAAAATATGAAATAATTTCAAAAACAAATGTTTTAGCGAGCTAAAAGATAGTTTTGAAAATTTTTGTTTTTTTTTCAATAATCATTAAAATAAGGGAGTTATTTTTCGAAAAACAAAAGAACGCCAATAACGTCGAACCGGGGCACCAAATCAAAAATTGGAAGTAAGAAAAGTTGTTTATGTTAATGAGTTCTAATTGCCGTTTTCGGGTGTAACGACTTAGTATACGTACGTACCTAAAATTTTGGAGTGCCGTAAAGGCATCGAATTTTTTTTTCAAACAGCATCCTAAAATTTTTATGAAGTTATCTTATTTTTCTGTGTACAACCTACAGTAAAATTTGTAGAACTGTCAAAAACTTTTTTGATATATGAGTTTTTAGCGTCGTCATTCTGAAATAGTAACCCACATTTTTTATTGATTATTAACGAGTAGGTACTACCTGGAGCAACGTTGCTTGACTGTAGATAATAAGTAAATTATTAGTAATATATACAAAAAAAAAGCGCGTGAAGTCGCAACCACGTGGGGTTCGGCCCGAGATATTTTCGAGAGAACGTATCATCAAAAAATTATCGTCTATTGCGAACTAGGTTAGTAGTATTAATTTTATAAAGGGTAAATGTCGAGTATAACAAAGAGATGGAATAATAATACTTTTAAAGCAAGCATTTTTTCCTAGAAAACATATCAGTTTCAAAGGATGATTTGCGGTTTAACTGTAACTGCATGAGCCAGACCAATTGGAGTGTAGCGGTCTTTTTTGTAAGTTGCGACCACCAGTTGGGTAATCTTATACTGTGCGATCAAAAATGAGTTGCTGTCGAGTCACCTTTGGAATTTTTGTTTTCATGGTATGGTAAATCGTACTAACTTGAATTTCCAAAGGCGACTCGACAGCAACTCATTTTTGATTGCCGGTTATCTGAACGTCACTTAATTTAGATACTTATACAGAGTGTCCCATTTATCTTAAGACAGTCGATTATTATGGAAACTAGCGGGGATATCAAAAAAAGATTTATATAAAATATTCTTCATATAGAGAGACCCATTTAATAGTGCTATGCACCTTTTCACATAACTGTCCCATAAGGGTCAAGTGTAGGGCAACTTAATTTTTTCCAACAGAATCGTAGGTATCTATACTTTGTACTGAATATTCTAATTCTACATCGGAAAATAATAAACTTTCATGGGAAACGGTTTTTCCCTACACTTACCATGTTTTCACGACACTCTTCCAAAAGAACGATTTTTGGTTAGAACTAGAAAGCTGTCCCGAATTTGGCAGATTTTTTAAAATTCTTGGTTCATCTGCCATAGAATAAGATGGCGTATGGTCCTGGGTAGATAGTTTAAGGAGAACGATTACAGAGGGTATAATTATAATAACGTCAGTTATACGTAATTGTACTAAAAATTCAATCATTACTTATTTAAGCGTTTAGGTGCATGTGATTATCCATCCCAAATACTTTTTTATGACGTTCAAGGTAATAAAGTTGGATTTATGGCCAGAGGCTATCTCATTACTTTACAACTCTTGAGAGTAGTTAAACCTCGAGTTAAACATTAAAATAATTATTGAATAAGTAATTAACATTATTTGTGGCAAGACTATTATTATTGATGATTATATTACTCATTTTATAGAGCAATTAAAGCACTTCCATAAACGTTTGATATCGTTTCTTGCTAAAATGGATTGCTACAGAACTTAGGGTCCTTATTGAATCGGTTATTGATGAGATAAGATGTTCTTTAATGGCCTATTGGAAATCGCAATTAACCAACGATCTAGGTCCTAGGAAATTATCTACTTTAGAGTCTAAACGAGTCTAATTGTTACAAATTAATTGGTATGATTAATCTAATGAACTAGCTTATGCGTAACCGTAAGTTTTTGAGTAGTACATGATTTTGAATTTTTACTTAGTATTAAACATTCAATTATTATAGACAACAACACAACTATTATGTAGAAGTCAAAGTAAATAAATGTAATTAACACACAATTAATTGATTGACAATGACAAAAATTTAATCCGAAATGGATTAAATGAAAATTAAAACAAAATTCCTGAAATAAAGAGAAACTTATACAAACCTTGTTTTTACATAGTATCCCGTACTCAGATAGTCAATAATTTCGGAAATCTTAAAATTACTCGGTTTTTTCCCTTTTAATAATCACAAAGTCTGCTCGTGAACAGGTTTGCGATAAACTCGCGCAGTTAACACTAACAGCTTCAGAACTTCACTTTTCTTTAGCACAAACTTGATGATAAACGAACTGCCATGTTGAATACGACGACAAACATTATCGGTAGCTGTTTTTTAATTTTAAAAAAAAAACAAGAGTACCTCAACAGAAAACTTCACGGTGCCCGCCTCGGTGCCCGCAGACTTCAACTGGACTAACTTTTTTCCGTAATAACCCTATATTTTCTTCGAGATTTTCTTAGTTAAAAGATACAGAAAAATGCGAGAAAAAATTTTTATTACAACATTTTATTTATAATCATTGTTGATTAATCTTCCGTTTTAAAAGTAAGTATACGGCGGTATACGGGGTCAGGTAAAAAAGTTAACGGACCTAACCTCATTTTTTTAATGGAACACACTGAAAAACTGAAAAATTACCTTTCTTAAATTTTTTATATTCTTTTTTTAATATTTTTGATTTTTTTTAATTACTTCCATTTTTTAGGTGATTAATTGTTGAGATATTTGAAAATGCCTGCTTTCCTTAACACCTTGATTTAGTAGTAATGAAAAAGCAGGGAGTTGTTTTTAGTTGCTATGTATAGTTAGTTGTAGTAACACAAAATTGCTGATTGAATCTGTTTCATTTTAGTCATTACATTTTTCCATATTTTTGCTCATTCGTGTTCATTAAAGTGTTTTCTACTTTCCTTGACTATCGCTTCTTAAAAGAACTCCAAAAGGTTATGGGCCCAGCGAAGTCATGTTAGGAAAGTAAGAGTACTTGTAAATCAGTTTTACGTACCTGGAATACCTGTGTCAAAAATGATGGATAGTAAAGTAGACATTGGCGTCATTAATAAGTTTAATGGACGAAATTACCAGCAGTGGAAATTTCAAATAAAGTGTGCTCTAAGAGCAAGAGGAGTTTTCGAGGTAGCGAATGGCGATTGCGAAAAACCAAGTGGTGCTGAAGGTGAAGGAACAGCGAAAGAAGTTGAAGCATGGAACAGGAAAGATGCCATTGCAATGTGTATCCTGACGTCTGCCATGGAACTTTCGCAAATTACATTAATCGAAAATTGTGGAAGCGCTAAAGATGTAATTAGCAAAATGGACACAATTTACCAGCAAAACACGGAATCGAATAAGATGATGCACCAGGAAAAGTTTCACCAGTACAAAATGGATCCAG